CATCTCAGACAAACAAACAAACAAACAAACAACTTTTGCCATCACTGGTGCCTCCAGATATGCGCTCACTCTCAGCAGAAGACTGTGGGATTCCACCAGCTCCCGGATATGAGCAGAAATCATTCCCTCTCATCTGCCCGTCCCCTCCCTCTCCTGTCCAAGAAAACTTGAAAGTTAACAGAACTTCTTAACCTCCAGCCAACACAGGTTGCGCCTGCTTCTTGTCAGGCCCAAAAGAACAAAGAAGGGCCTCCTCTCTTCCACTGCCCTCCTCTGAAGTGCAGAGAGCCCTTTCCTCATGTCGATGAATGGGTAAGGTCACGCCCCGGGAGCCACAGCGCTGACACACATCCCAGCTCAGGCTCGGGCTCCCATTGATCATGTGTCTTTCTCCTGGTCCTACAGCCCCGTGGCTTGTCTCTTTCTGCTTAGGGATGGCGGTATTGTTATTACCCTGTTGTGTGTTATCTGTACAGTTTGATTGGACTTTGTTATTTTGAATGAACACATGAATCTCAAATTAGCCTCTCAGCAGAATCGGCTTCTGAGTGATTCATGTTAAGAGTTGATGCTCTGTATACAATAGGCAAATCATCAGATTTTGGCATCCTGCTGGGTGAGCACGTTTGGGAAAAGGAAAAACAATTCATTATATTTTAGAGAAGCTTAGACAATTCTAACATGGAACAATAAGGAAGTTAGATCAGACTCTACCTAGAGACAGAGGCTGTGGCAGGTCCATCTAAGAGGATGCTCTCAGCCAGCAAAGTGAATCTGCTGTATACATGCTTAGTTTCCTTTGTAAAAAAAATCTACTTGTAATATTTATTGTTTCTTTTAAATGATGTTTAAATAGTTCTAGAAAGATAAATAAATATTTCAATTTAATGCCACAGGAAATGAGGGCTCTGCGAGCATTAAGTCGAGTATAACACAACAACATAATATCAGCCTGATCAGGAACAGCATTTTTTCTTTTTGAGACGCAGTCTTGCACTGTCGCCCGTGCTGGAGTGCAGTGGCGTGATCTCGGCTCACTGCAACCTCCATCTCCCGGGTTCAAGCAATTCTCCTGCCTCAGCCTACTGAGTAGCTGGGATTACAGGCATGGGCCACCACACCCTGATAATTTTTTGTATTTTTAGTAGATGGGTTTCACTATGTTGGCCAGGCTGACCTCGAACCCCTGACCTCATGATCCACCTGCCTCAGTCCCCCAAAGTGCTAGGATTACAGGCATGAGCCACCACGCCCAGCCAGGAACTCAAAAAAAAAGCATCCCCTACCACACCCACACACACACACACACACACACACACACACAGAGAGAGAGAGAGAGAGAGAGAGAGAGAGAGAGAGAGAGAGAGAGAGAGAGAGAGAGAGAGAGAGAAAGAAAAGCCCTTTAAATCCCTCTATACATATAGCCACAAAAAAAATCACCCTGAATCCTTTTGCATGATCCAATGTATTTACTCAGAAATGCTCCCACCAGGGACCCCAGGGCCTCTCTGAAATGTAATACTCTCTTATTCATTTGAAATACCTAACCTCAAAATAATTTATGAAATCCATTCCACCTTTGCAGCATCAAGGAGAAAATTCGTTATGGGAAAGTGCTCCAGTAAAAAGCATACAATGGTCAGCCGAAATACGAACACCCAAATTGAGTGGTATAGAGTCTTTGAAAGTCAAGACGTTCTGTTAAAGCCACTGTGAATATATTCTAAACAAGCATTTTAATGTGAGGTCTCAACCACCTCATCATCTATGTCCATGTACGGTGACACACGTTAACATGATTTTTAAAGGAAAAAGTGGAAAAAAAATCTTCCTAAATCATGCCTATATTTCCAATCTTCTCTAACCTTAAAAGATCTGAGCCCTTGCCGTTATTGGATTACAAATACATTCCCGAAGAGAGAGAGGCAAAAGTAAGAAAAGCTGGAGATCAGAGAAAGAAAAAGCATACCGTCTTTGCTATTGAAATATTATTAAATTCATTGCTTTGACATTCTGACAGTAATTGCGCTGAGAGGGATTGGATTTTGTTAATATTACTTTAAAAGGGCTGTCGAGAATTTCCTGCAGGAGAGGCCAGCGTGCAAGGCACAGCTTTCACTGGGTTTTCTTTGTTGTTCTCACAAAAAATCCTGAGAAGCTTGATGCTCATCTTATTTTTGACAGCACAAAACCCTTGGAAAAGCACCCGAGTACCACAGAAAGTTCTGCCACGCCCAGGCCTGGTTCCATTTTCAACTGTGACCTGTGGAGCCGGTAATCCAAGCTGATTCACTTGTGAGGTTTCTGCCTTTGTCATCTTAATAAACAAAGACAGAGCCAGGCACACTTACGACTATCATTTTCCTAATAATGGCAGAGCTATGACACCTCAGGCCACCCAAGGGTATTGTTGGAAAGAGCCGAAAATAGTGTGATTCACTTACAGTTTCTGAATGTTCTCTTCCTTGCTAATCTAAGCCCAAAGAGTTCTAATGAAGTGTGATCTCATAACAACATGCGCAACTGAGTCCATATGTGAAGAGGTTCTCTCTCCTGGGTGAGGAAATGATTAGCCTGAGTGGTGCCCGGCCAAGGCTGGCCCTAGAAAAGCCCTGGACAATGGACCTCCCCCAGGTTAGACATGAGAGCATCCCACAGCGCCCATCCCATTAGTAAGGAGACAGCTCTCTCTACCTTGGAAGTCTCTAAAGTCCAAGTTCTAAGTAAAGGCCTGGAGCTGCTTTCGCCACTGTTCAGAAAATAAATGGCTTTCATGGCCAGGCACAGAGCCTCACGCCTGTAATTCCAGCATTTTGGGAAGCGGAGGAGGGTGGATCATTTGAGCTCAGGAGTTCGAGACCAGCCTGGGCAACATGGCAAAAGTCCATCTCTACTAAAAATACAAAAATTAGCCGGGCACAGTGGCCCATGCCTGTAGTTCCAGCTACTCGGGAGGCTGAGGCAGGAGAATCACTTGAACCTAGGAGGCAGAGATTGCAGTGAGCTGAGGTCGCGCCACTGCACTCCAGCCTGGGCAAAAGAGTGAGACTGCATCTCAAAAAGGAAGGAAAGAAAGAAAAAGAAGTGAAGGAGAGAAGGAGGGAAGGGGAGAAGGAGGGAAGAGAGTAAGGGAGAAAGGGAGGAAGGGAGGGAAGGAAAGGCTTTAAAACAGAACTAGATTATCATTATTAAAATTAAAATTAAATTTATCATTAGATGTTGAATTTTTAAAAAATATGTGTTTCTTGAAAGGATAGAGAAAGCTGCCATATGACCCAGCAATTCCAGTCCTAAGACTGGAGTTTTCTGATAGGTGAAAACAGGGCATATAGCAGTATTATTCATATTAGCCAAAGTGTGGGAACCACTCAAATGGATTGGCCAATTCTAGTATATCCATATATGGAGTATTATGCAGTCACAAAAAGGAAGGAGATACTGACACATGTTCTAACTTGGACAAATCTGAAAAACATTGTACTACAAGCAAGAAATCAGTCACAAAAGACCACGTGTTATAGAATTCCATTTATATGAAATGACCAAATAGGCAAATCCACAGAGATGGAAAGTAAATTAGTAGCTGCCTGGGCTGGGGGAAGAGGGAAATGGGGAGTAACTGCTAATCGGTAGAGGGTTTCTTCTGGGGGGGTAATAAAAATATTCTAAAATTAGGTGGTGATGGTTGCACAACTCTGTGAATACACTAAAAACCACTAGATTATATACTTTCAAATTGTGACTTTTATAGTACATATAGTTATTAATTCAGCCAAGATCACACCACTACGCTCCAGCCTGGAGAACAGAGCGAGACTCTGTCTCAAAAAAAATAAAAATAAAATAATTGAATAAAACAGCTCTTGAGTGGCTACCATATGTAAAGCAAAGACAATGAAAGCACCATCATCCCTAGCACTAAGTGGAAAATAATCTCATGCCATCTTAACACTGGCTCCTGTAGGCCTAAGCAACTGGTCTCACGAGTATGCAAATAAGAAACGCAGCTAACACTTACCTGATGCCTTCTAGGTACCAAACACTGTCTCAAGCTCTTCCCATATAGTAACTCATCGACCCTTACTCCAACTGAGAGAGACGTGTCATTATTATTCCCATTTTACAGACTAAGAGACTGAGGCTTGGTGAGGCACAGTGGCCCATGCCTGTAATCACAGCACTTTGGGAGATGGAGATGGGCAGATAACCTGAGGTCAGGAGTTCAAGACCAGCCTGACCAACAGGGGAAAAGCCTGTCTCTATTAAAAATACAAAATTAGCCAGGCGAGGTGGCGCATACCTGTGATCCCAAGCTACTAGGGAGGCTGAGGCAGGAGAATCACTTGAACTCGGGAGGTGAAGGTTGCTGTGAGCTGAGTTCGTGCCACGGCACTCCAGCCTGGACAACAGAGTGAGACTCTATCTCAAAAAAATAAATAAAATAAATAAAAATAAAAAAAAAAATAAATAAAAGTAACCTCCCTAGCAAGTTACTTTTAAGTAACTTGCCCAAGGTCACATAACTATTACAGGGCAGAGTCAGGTTGCAAGCCTGGTCACTCCGGCTTCAGATTCTACTCTTTAAACGCTCACACTGGCATTAACCCAACTCACAAAACAATCCCATGGAATAAAAATATAGAAACCCAGCCTAGCCAACATGGTGAAACCCTGTCTCTACTAAAAATGCAAAAACAAATTAGCCAGGCTTGGTGACAAGTGCCTGTAATCCCAGCTACTTGGGAGGCTGAGACCTGAGAATTGCTTGAACCTGGGAGGTGGAGGTTGCAGCGAGCCGTGACTGCACCATTGCGCTCCAGCCTGGGCAACAAGATGAAACTCTGTCTCAAAAAAATAAACAAATAAATAAAATAAAAATGTAGAAAAATTGTAAAACAGACTGCAGTTGCTCAGCCTTTCTCAGAGGCTCAGAGAGTGCTGAAGCACAGTGCCACGCACGGAGCGCACAGTCAGCGACCATCACCTGGCCAGGCCCTCACCTGTGGACCACCCCGGCCCGGTGCAGGTGCTCCACGGCGGAGATGAGCTGCCGGATGTATCTGCGCGCCTCAGACTCCTCCAGCCGCTTCTTCTCATAGATCTTGTGCATCAGGTTGCCCCCAGGGCACAGTTCCATGACCAGGTAGTAGCTGTTTTCCGTCTCTAAAATATCAAGGAGCTGAGTGATATTGGGGTGGCGGATCATCTGCTGGATCTGTCCCTCTCGCCGCAGGTTTTTGGTGACATAGGTGTCCTTTTTGGCTCTCTTCTTATCGATGACTTTTATGGCCACCTAAGGAGAAACCAAGATCATGCCTGTTATCAGACGTGACAGACAATAGTGACTCCTGGGCTACTCTCAAGAATCCAGGGATAATGCATAGCTATTTCTCTGCAGCAGAAGAAACAACTTATCTAAAACAGCATCAGCTGGACGCGGTGGCTCACGTCTGTAATCCCAGCGCTTTGGGAGGCTGAGGCGGGCGGATCATAAGGTCAGGAGTTCAAGACCAGCCTGACCACCCTGAGTTCGAGGTTTCAACATGGTGAAACCCCATCTCTACTAAAGAAAATGCAAAAAAAAAAAAAAAAAATTAGCCAGGCATGGTGGCGTACACCTGTAATCCCAGCTACTCCAGAGGCTGAAGCAGGGGAATTTGCTTGAACCAGGAAGGTGGAGGTTGCAGTGAGCCAAGATCACGCCACTGCACTCCAATCTGGGTGACAGAGCAAGACTCCATCTCAAAAAAAGTAAAAATAAAAATAAAAAAGTAAAAGCATCAACAGAAAAAATATATATATACACATCCATATTTATGAATATACCATATATATATATATATATATACACATAAACACACACACACATACACACATATATGTATAACATTAGAAAAAATCAAAAGGTCCAGTTATTAAGGAAGACAATGGAATTTATCTAAGAAAACCTGAATGGCTGTCTGGAAGGCACAGTGCAGGGTTAATGTCCAACTTATGTTTCTGCAGGATGGGAAGATGAAATGACAATTTCTCCTCCAGCAAAGGACTCTTCCCAGTCCCTCTCAAGACTCACCATCATCTCCTTCCAGATCTGAGGACCCCCAACCACTTCAGAAACAGCTAAATCTGGGCATGTTCCAGGGCATGGTTGCGGGGCACTGCCCAAAGATGCAGCACCACTCGCCTTGCCGACCCTCTCTGCCCTGCACAGGCCCTCAAACCCCAGGTCTACCTCCTTGCCTTGTTGAATCACTCCCAGGGAAACTCAGCTGCCACTGTCAGGACCCAGCCTCTGCTGTTACTCCACAGTCACATCTCTCCCACCCCCAGGAAGCTCCTCCTGGGGCATTTCCCCCACAATCAACTTGTCACAAGAGGTAGGGTGGGAGGGAGGGAAGAACAGAAGGAAGGATGGAGGGACAGAAGGGAAGGGAAGACTGTCATTTCCACCCGAAATCCGCATCTGTCTCCAGTCCTCTTTACTTTAGGGGAAGTCACCTCTCCACGGTGTTCACCCTTTTCCTCCCTCCCTTCCTTCCTCTTTCCTTCCTTCCTACCTTCCTTCCCTCCCTCCTTCCTTCCCTCCTTCCTTCTTTCCTTCCTTTCTCCCTCCTTCCATCCTTCCCTCCTTCCTTCTTTCCTTCCTCTCTTCCTTCCTCTCTTCCTTCTTTCCTTCCTTCCCTCCCTCCTTTCCTTCCTTCCCCTTTCCCTTCTTCCTTCCCTCCTTCCTTTCCTTCCTTCTCTCCTTCCCTCCCTCCCTTCCTTACTCCTTCCCTCCTTCTTTCCTTCCTTTCTACTTTCTTTCCCTCCTTCCTCCCTTCCTCCCTTCCTTCTTTCCTTCTTCCCTCCCTCCCTTCCTTCTTTCCTTCCTTCCCTCCCTCCTTCCTTCCTCCCTCGCTTTCATCCTTCCTTCCTTCCCTCCTTCCTTCTTTCCTTCCTTCCCTCCCTCCCTTTCCTTCCTCCCCCTTTCCCTTCTTCCTTCCCTCCTTCCTTCTTTCCCTCTTCCCTCCCTCCCTTCCTTCCCTTTTCTTTCTCCTTCCCTCCTTCTTTCCCTCCTCCTTACCTTCCTTTCTACTTTCTTTCCCTCCTTCCTTCCTTCCTTCCTCCCTTCCTTCCTCCTTCCCTCCCTCCCTTCCTTATTTCTTTCCTTCCTTCCCTCCTTCCCTTCCTTCCTCTTTCATTTCTTCCCTCCCTCCTTCCTTCCTTCTCTCCTTCCCTTCCTTCCTTCCTCCCTTCTTCCTTCCTTTATTCCTCCCTCCCTCCTTCTTTCCCTCTTCCTTCCCTTTCCCCCCTTCCTTTCCTTCTCTCTCTCTCTTTCCCTCTCTCTCTTTTTCTCTTTTTTTCTTGACAGAGCCTCGCTATTGCCCAGGCTGGAGTAAGTACATGGTGCAATCATGGCTCACTGAACCTCAAACTCCTAGGCTTAAGCAATCCTCCCACCTCAGCCTCCCAGGACCTGGTACTATAAGCACACACCACCATGGCTGGCTAATTTTTTTCTTGTTGTAGGCAGGGATCTCCCAGTGTTGCACAGGTTGGTCTTGAACTCCTGGCCTCAATTGATTCTCCCCCTCGGCCTCCCAAAGTGCTGGTTTCACAGGTGTGAGTCACTGCGCCCGGCCACCCTGTTCTTTCTTTTGTCTTCACTCCCCTCTCTAATGTGATCAGCCACTGACATCAACACATGATGTCAATGTCTTCTGCCAGCTGCCTTGCCACCTGTCCTTCTTCTTTGTTCCCCTACCCACCCATCTGGTTCATTCCAACCACTGCCCCCAGCGCCCAGATGCCCTGTCATTACCTGAGACACGAGCACCCAGGAACTCTTTCTCACACAGCTACAGGGCCTCCTGGGACAGAAGGAACACAGTGGACCTCCCATTTCCCTTTATTTGTCTTTTTTGTAATTACATTTTGTACCTTTTTCACAATGTCCTCAATATGCATTATATGCAATATGCCATATACAGAGGTACAGGTACATAAATAAATATAAGTAAATAAATACAGATGAATACATGTTTTCAGTGAGGGGCTCAAATATTATTTTGTAGACATAGTTCCTGATAAAGACAAAAACAGGCTGGGCGTGGTGGCTCACGCCTGTAATCCCAGCACTTTGGGAGGCCGAGGCGGGTGGATCACCTGAGGTCGGGAGTTCCAGAACAGACTGACCAACATGGAGAAACCCCAACTCTACTGAAAACACAAAATTAGCTGGACGTGGTGGCACATGCCTGTAATCCTACTAGGGAGGCTGAGGCAGGAGAATCACTTGAACCCAGGAGGCAGAGGTTGCAGTGAGCTGAGATTGTGTATCATTGTACTCCACCATGGGCAACAAGAGTGAAACTCCATCTCAAAAAAAAAGAAAAAGAAAGCAGAAGTCTGAGATCTAATGTACAGCATGGCAACCAGGGTTAACACTAATGTATTGCACACTTGAAAACTGCTAAGAGGCCGGGTGCAGTGGCTCACGCCTGTAATCCCAGCACTTTGGGAGGCCGAGGTGGGTGAATCACTTGAGGTCAGGGGTTCGAGACCAGCCTGGCCAACATGGTGAAACCCTGTCTCTACTAAAAATACAAAAATTAGTGGGGCATGATGGTGGGAGCCTGTAATCCCAGCCACTCGGGAGGCTAAGGCAGGAGAATCACTTGAACCAAGAAAGAGGAAAAGAGAGAAAGAAAAAGAGAAGAAAGAAAGGAAGGAAAGAAAGAGGAATGAAAGAAGGGAGAAAGGAAGAAAGGCGGAGGTTGCAGTGAGCCGAGATTGATTGCGCCATCATACTCCAGCCTGGGCGACAAGAGTGAAACTCCATCTCAAAAAAAAAAAAGAAAGAAAGAAAACTGCTGAGAGATCTTTTTAATGTTCTCAACACGCACAAAAAATGATAATCTTGTGAGGTAATGGATGTGTGCACGAGCTTGATTATGGAACCATTTCACAACGTGCCCACTCACCAGAGCCTCACACTGTACACTGTAAGCACGTGCGGTCATCTGTCAATTAAACCTCAATAAAACTGGGGGAAAAAAGCCTTAAAAAACAAAGAGAAAACAAAGAAGGGGAAAAAAAGTCCAAACTAAAGGCAAACTTTGAATTAAACAAAATAGTGAATGAATCAATCAAAGTCTGATCGCCACCAGCATGGACTAAGGTATGGATGTCACCTCTTCCTGAGGCTCCTCCCGGCCTCCTGAATTCACTCTACACTCTGCCTCCCAATCAGCAGGTCTGGAACTCTGATTTCTTGCAGAAGCTCCTGAGGGCTCACTGCTGCCTATGGGAGCAGTCAAGCTTCTTCATCAGCACCCCCACCACCCAGCCCCAAGTCCTTCCAGCTCTCCCTCCTGGCCACATCTCCTCACTCCCTTGGACATGCATTCTGTCACTCTCCAAGTGCTCCAGCCACCCCCTTGCCCCACTCAAGCCCCAGACCCCAAGTCCTTCAGAGGCTAACCTCCCTTCCAGAGAGATTCCCCTACACATCAGAATCAGCGATAAGCTATAAGACAGTCATGGCTTAACCACTCCCCCTTCATGATACACAGCACGTTATAAACAGTGAGTGACTAGTAGCGCCTAACTGAAGGGATCGCCAAACAAAAATGGCTGTAAACAGCCTAATCTACTGTCCCCTCTACAGAACAGTGTCTGTTTTCTGTTGTTGTTGTTTTGTTTGCTTGCTTGTTTATTGAGATGGAGTCTCATTCTGTCACCCAGGCTAGAGTATAGTGGCTCACTGTAAACTCCACCTCCCAGGTTCAAGCAATTCTCCTGCCTCAGCCTCCTGAGTAGCTGGGATTACAGGTGCCCGTCATCACACCCAACTAATTTTTGTATTTTTAGTAGAGACAGGGTTTAGCCATGTTGGCCAGGCTAGTCTCAAACTCCTGGCTTCAAGTGATCTGCCTACCTGGGCCTCCCAAAGTGCTGGGATTATAGGCGTGAGCCACTGCGCCTGGCCCAGAGTCTCATTTTAATAGGGAGGTTCAGGCCCTTAATCAAAGATGGGAGTAACAAAGAGTCAATCAGCCCCCAAGGGGACCAGACAGGCTGGAAGAGCCCCTGCCATCCACACCTCACAGCAAGGGGCCTGCACTACCCCAAGTCAGCTCCGGCTGATGCTCTCAGCCCACAGGAGTTAAAGTTACACTCTGGCTGTGTCTGGCCGCAACTAGTTGAAGAGATGCTAACGAACAGGTTGTAAACTGTTACCCTCCAAAAACACATAGACACACACATATTTCACATCCATCCTCAGGGAGGTGGAGAAGAAGGAATGCTGAA